CCCTTATTATTTAATTGTATTTGAGCATTTAGATATTATTGAGGCCCGCATTTTGGTTACTTAATTTACCTTAATTAAAACTTATAAATAGACTAATAAGGTTTTGAATTAGGGAGTGATTAGACACTATGAAATTTTGAGACTTGGTCAAAATAAGAATCTTTATTTTTACTTTCTTTCGAACTCTTTTTTTCTTTTCTCATTCTTGCGTGTGGTAAGCGTTTCGATAGAAGGCTAAACTTCTTGTTCAATCCGTGGAATCTAAACGCCGTAATTCTGACTTGAGTTCTGCGCTAAATTGCTCCAAGTTTGTTCTCTTTTCTCTCTAATATCAAAATTATGTATTGCAATCGTAATTGACTTTTCTGTTGTTAGAATTCAAATTAAGACTCGATTGGTACTCTAATTTGATACTTAATAGGATTAAGTTAAATGCTTATTTGATTTAATTCGAACTCTATTTAATTAGGATATTCGATTGAATTAATAATTGAATTAGGTAATTGTTCAAATGCAGATTTAAATCTTTAGATATTGCGATAGTCGGAGTTACATGCAATTGACATTCTGTGAATTGATGTTTCTTAATTCATTTTTACTCACTTTAATTCTATTCGCAATTTAATTTAATTAATTTACTATTTTCAAAACCCCAAAAAACTTTATTTGCATTATTTAAAACAAAACCTAAAATTTAATTAATTTGGCTCTATACTACAAAATTTTTAGAAAACTTAGTTGTTTTGATAGCAACTCGGCATCGTTTATCAATAATCTTTAATGAACCATTTTCTCCCAAATATTACCTAATTTTTGGTTTAAGAAGTTAAAACTAATTGATTTACTTACAAGTTTAACTATAATAGTAAACTTCTAAGAAGAGTACCATTTCTCATAATAATCTAATGGGATCTTTAGATCCAAACACAAATTTTGGGATTTTTCAGAGATTTCATCACTATCTTTAAGCTCAGAGACAATATTTAAGTCATCCAGAACAATTTTAACAATTTCTTCATCATTTAAAACTAGATCTTACTCTTTTGACTCTAAGACTTTATATTTATAGGTAAAAAACTTAAAAAAACTAGGTTTAGAAAACAAATGATTTTCTTTTGGTTCTAAAGGTCGCTCACCCTCTTGCATGAACAAGTTTTGTGTCTCCTCTATGGATCGCTTTTCAACTTTATGGCACTCCATGTCTTTTGAATCCACTAGAGCGGTGGATAAGGACTTGTGATTTTTCCCTTCAATTACTTCAAACCTTTTCTAGCATGTTGAATCCATGCGAATACCTCAAAGCGACTAGGACGAGGAACCCTAGCATTGCCTTCTTAGTCTTCTTTTCTTGAAATGAAAAGTATATCTTAGAGCCCTTAAGAAAACCATTTATCAAATGTACATCTTTTAATGTTATTAAAAATAGTTTTTGTATAAAAAAAAAACACATGTATAATTAAAGTTGACATTATTTTAAACATGTAGCTCTTGCACTACAATTAAAATTTATGCTAATTATTAGGGATGGCAAAACAAGCTTACCTGCCTTGGCAGTCCATCCAAAAACGGGTTAGTCCGAGCCCACTTTATTTAAAATATGAATTAGATTTTCTAGTCTGACCTATTTAAGAGTGGGCTGACAAGCTAACAGATTAGCCGGCCAAAAAAAAAAAACTAAAAAAAATTGGTGGACCATTTAAATTAATGGGCCAATATACCAAATTTAATGGGTTAAACGAGTTGACCCGATGGGTCAAGCCTATTTTAACAATTATAATAATTATATTAAAATAATAAGCTAGATTTGAAGTATTATTTTAAAGAATTTTTTAAAAATTAAGAAAAAATTAAATGCGCATCTTGTAACATTATTAAGAATAACTTTTACATAAATAATACATTGATGCTGTTTCAAACATGTGTTTATTAGCAATTACATTATAATCAAAATTTATGCTAATTATATTAGGGTAGTAAGTTATGAGTTTGAAGTCCTGATTCCAAGAGCTTTTAAAAAATTTATGAAAATAACTTATAACTTTTATAAGTTTTTTAATTTATTTTTTTGAAAAAAAATGATTAAGTCATTATATAAAAATAATTGTTCAAATATTTAATTCATTTTTATTTTAAAATTATAAATCAGAGGTTTTCTTTAGAATTGGGCACGAGGTGTATCGTGCCACATATTGCACGTTAGAGATTCACCCGAGCTTTGATTATACTTCTGATCATGTCATGAACTTATTACTGAATGAAGTTATTGGATTTTATTTTATTTTTATTTCCAAATGTCATATAATGTGATCACAGCTAGCAGAGAAATACTTTCGCTTCAGTTATTTCTTTCTTGGTATATAATATAAAGATAGTTATGTATAGTATCATATGATGTGTCAAATTTTAATATTTAACTAATGATGTAAAAGATTTATTAGATCTCATGACATTAATTGGTGGGCCTCCTTAGAGGTAGTAGCCAAGCCCAGCATGATCATGAGAAAGCCAAGGGCCCCAATGTAGGATTATACTATTATTCTCATGCATTTCTGTGGTTTCCACCATCACTAATCTGTTGACGTATAGCTATGTTTATGGCTGAAAATTACTAGAGTGAGGCCATTCCAAATCCTACACCAATCTCAGATGTTCTCCGCTCAATTCCATCAACTCAAATTGATAGTAGGAAAGAGAAATGCCTCGTCCCTTTCTTATTCTTCTTCTATTATCAGTTTCAATTATGCATTTCAAATAAGCATCTTCTTTCGTTATTATTGTCATTATTATTTATTTCAATTATTATTATCACTATTGAAATTGAAAGTGAGTTAGATATTTTGTTATTTTTAAATCACAAGTTCTTTTATTAGATTTTTTTAAAATTATAAGTTTTTTTTCTTGAAATTCAAACTCAAAGCTAGAAATTAAACAAATAACTTTTGCCAATTGATTTTGGTGCTCAATGTTATCATTCATTATCTATCTATTTAGTATCTAAGTTCTTTACTTTTAAAAAAAGTTCTCATTTAAATATCAAAAAATAAAAATTAGTACGAACCCATCATTATATAATAAATATAATTCATATTTTTGAAAATGAGCTTTTTTTTCATTGTGCTCACTTTCATTTTAGTACATGTAACTTTATAATTGAAAATAATTTTTATGATTTATAAAACTCTCAAAATCATTAATTTTTTAAGAAGAAATACTACAATGAAACATATCATAATTCATATAGTATTTTCTTCCTTGAAAATGAAACATATCATTTTTAATTTAAAATGTTGAAATTAACCATTCATATTATTTTAAATGTTAAATATTTTTCAATCTATATTTTTTATGTTTTTTATAAATTTAAAAGTACTCATCAATGATGGAATACTTACAAATACTAAATCACCGACCATTCGTTGGACTCCTTTTATCTTTTGTGAGAATAATGTATATTCACAATGTTTTTTATTCTTTTACATTTTTTTTTTGTTTTTTATTACAACGCTTATTACATTTTTTTTTCTAGTCCAAATCTCTCTACCTCTCGTCTCTTACACTTGTCTCACTGTGAGAGAAAACATTAATCTAACCAAAAGTATTGTCATGAGATCCTTCGAAAGAACAAGTACAGGGGAAACCCACAGTTCCCTCTGCTGTCTCTCGTTACACAAAGGCTATGGAGGTACCTCTACAGACACGCCCCCTGCTTTCAAGCCCAATCCAATAACCTAGTCCATACACAGGATATCATAAATAATACGTACTCTCCGACATGGCAATTTTTAATTAAAATAAAAATTAAATACAGAAAATGTTTCTAAAAATTAAACAAACCCTTATTATCTCAAAATCTATCTTCTATCTTCTCACTACTTATTTATTACATAAAAAAAAATTCTAAAATGAACGTAATAAAATATTTCATAATATTTTTAATAAAAATAAAGTAATTAAATATATTCCTTAATTATTGTGTTACAATTTTAAGCAACTATTGATTAAAAATAAAGTTATTTTTTCTACACAATCATCAATTTTTTGGGGCAAGAGTTTAATTTAAAAATACCACAATAGATTCAGTTCGATTTGTCCCACCAACATATCACACACACAAACAATGTGGATATAATAATAGGTTGTTGTGACCAAGTGCTTTGTACGAAATGAATTCAAAACTTTATAGATTAGTATTATATAGCTTAAAGAAATAACTTTTGTAATATATATATATATATATATATATATATATATATTATTTATAATAAATTTTTAAATTATAATATGTTACAAAATTTAATATATAAATAACATTAAATGCTACAATTTAAAAACGTTATTAATTAATTTTTAACAATATATTAAAGATAATGAATTGGTAATTCTCTATAGTTTAAAATGTGATCATGCTCTCAGCCCACTTCAGTGCAAACCAGGAATCCATAAACAGTAGACGCACCAAACAAATATAAGAATAGCTCAGTCACTCGATTATTATTTATTAATCAAAAGCTTCATCGAGTTACTATAAATTACATAATTTAAGGAACCGTAGAGTGACAGCATTCTCTAGTTAGGCCGCCATAGAAAATAGCTAATAAAGACCTCTTTACATGTAAACATGCAAAAAACAAATTGAATACAAGAAAAAAATAAAATAAAAAAATATTAAATATATATTAATATATTATAAATTATAATTGAACTAATATATATATATATATATATATATATATAATTAAAATGGGTTTTATATTAATAAATAATATATTTTTTAATAAAAAAATTACTTTTAATTCTTTAACGAACATTACTTAATATTTTTCATATATAAATACAGAGTTTAAATATTCAAATGAACCAACTATGAACTACCACAATTAAGTGAGAAAAAGTATTAGTCATGTGTCAAAGGAGAAAGGGCTTATCTCAATTCTAGTCCAGCATGTCATTTTAAGAGATCCTTGTATAAAAACAGGGGCAGGGTTGCCAACTATGAACTACCACAACTAATCTCACCAATCCTTTTGTCAAGCACATGCCCTCTTTTTTCTCTTTCAACTTATCTTCCAACTGTTTCATATCTCACCATACTTTTATATAAGCTGCTTCCCACACACCCTCTTCACATATCATCCAATCCCACCAACTTCCTTTTACTATAATCCCATCTTCACCATCCATAAACCTATTTGCGTTTCGACAATACCCTGCAACTGCAAGCAATTGAAAATATATCACAACAAAATATGAACCATGTTGCCCATATTGCTTATGATTTGGTCATGATCACTCTATCCATATCTCTCATCGTTCTTGGCGTTATTCTCTTTCTTGCTTGCAAGAAGAAACCGGTTGAATCAGAAGAAACACTTCCTGTGAAGCTTTGTGCTCGGGCATACCCTTTGATGGAAATTGATGCTGCCACTGATGGCTTCAATCATAGGAGAATTGTGGGTAAGGGTCGCTTAGGAACTGTGTATGCTGGGACACTTGAGAAAGAAGAACTTGTAGCCGTGAAGAGGATTCACCCAGTTCTTGTGTTGAGCAATGCAGGGTTTGGATTCTCATCCGTGTTAAAATGGCTCTCTTTAGCTCAACACCCCAACGTTGTTCCAATTATAGGATTCTCAGAAGCACCGGGTGAGAGAGTTATATTGATGGAGTTTGTGCGCATGGCAAGCTTGGATTTTTACTTGCATCAAAACCCAGATGGGGCCTCACTTTTGGACTGGAACAAGAGGTTGAGGATTGCAGCTGGAGCAGCTAGAGGGCTTCAATACCTGCATGAAGTGGTGGCACCAAACATTGTACACGGGTGTGTTAAGTCCTCTAATATTCTTATTGATGTAAATTTTTGTGCTAGAATTTCCGATTACGGGCTTAACTTTTTGGCACCTGTGGAAAAGAGAGGGCTAGTGGGTTATGTAGATGATGAGTATTGGAATGAAAGGAGGAGTGGTGGAGCTACCAAGGAAAGTGATATTTATGGGTTAGGGGTGGTCTTGTTGGAGCTTTTGAGTGGGAGAGGGTGTGAGGGAGGATTGTTGGTGAAGTGGGCTTTGCCTTTGATCAAGGATTTGAATTTTAGTGAACTTTTGGATCCTAGATTGGTCATTCCTTCTGACATGAAGCCTCTTGTTAGATTAGCCAAAGTTGCTTCAGCTTGTGTTGGCAATTCACGGAAATGTAGGCCTTGCGTGGCTCAAGTGGCAACCATTTTGAGCAATTTAGAAACGGAAGTGTGTCTCTAATATTCTTATTGATGGAGCAATTTTGTACCAAAAAATGGACTTGGATTCGGTTGTTAACTGGGAATACAAAAGGCACGCATTTTTTGGTCAGCAATAAATCCTCACATGGTAAGTTAAATTGGTTAAAAGGAGGAGGACAATACTGAGATGAGTTTGGTGAGTTTGACATTCATTGGATGCGAGTAATTGGTAAGAAAATTGGTAGATTTTGATGGGGGAGTGGTCTCATCCTAAAGTTGTGACAGGTGGAGAAGTCGTAGGTTGATTTGGTGGGGAATTTTGAAATAGAAAGGTGTGACGGTGCCGTCGCCCTTAGGACGCTGAATCTTATTAATCTCTTGTTCCGTGGATCGTGGGGATCCTTTTGGTCATGGAACTGACCTTTTCTTTTCTTTCCTTTTTCTTAGTCTTTATTTCCATCAGCTTTTAATGTCTGTATATGTTTTTTTTTTCAGCTTTTGTGAATGTGATTACGTAATCATCCAAAGTTGTAGATTTTGAGGACTTAATATAAATATTGATTTTAGTTTCCAGAGAATTACATATGTCTTGTGAAAGAGAAGGAGTGGGAGAGAACAAATCCCGGAATAGAGTATATTTTATAGGAAATTAAATTTATATATTTACAATTTATGTTTCATAATTTAATTAATTAAAGTAATTCGAAGAGATAAAATTATTATCATTTTCAATATTACAGTGTTTATATTATTGATATTAGATGTTGAATGTGTTTGACAATATATTTTATTTAATTTTTAATTAATAAATTAATTTATAAACTTGTTTGATTTGTGTTTAATAAATGAATTTGTTCCACTAGATTATATCGGTTTTTCATAAGTTATTTAAAGTAGTTTTTGAACTTATAATTTAATACTATCTTTTTTTTTAAGTTCAATTAATTAATAAAGTATATTATTCATTATTTTGTTTAATATTATACTATTAACTATAATAAAATTCATTTTAATATTATACTTTTTATTATAATTATTATGCTTCTTTTATTTTTTAAAATATGAGATCTTTAAACAATAAATTATAACAATTTTAAATTAACTAAATAGTTTATAATTATAATTACTTAAAAATATAATTTGTCTCTATAAAATAAAACAAATATATTAAAAAATTCACATGAACATGTTTTTACGTTACCTCATAATTATCAAACAATTAATTTTATCAAACATTGTTAATTTAATAATTTTTAATTAATTTTTTTTAAACGTTTGTTAGTTTTTAAATATACTAATTTATTAGATATTTTTGTCAAACATATTTATTGACTAGTTGAATGTCACTATCACCTTTGCTTTCTCAAGAATTCTGCACAATTTATAATACGTAATTAATGCATGCTTTATGCATTTTTTTAAGGGAAAAATTTAAGTAGAATATTATATATATTTTTATGTTATTTTTTAATTATAATTATAATTTAATATGTAGTCACGATAAATATAAATTTTAATTACAATAGAAAATTAATTTTGACTAATGAATAAATACAAATAGAACCTATAAAATAACATAAATTTTATTTTTTAAATATAAATACATTATTAGCATATATTAAATTTTATTTATTTTAAAAATATATGAATAATTCAAATATTATATATATTTTTTCAATTTAAACTTTCTATATATATATATATATATATATGATTCTATTAATGTATATTTAGCTTTATTTATCTTTTAAATTATCTTTTTAGATAGCAACAAAGTTATTAATTTATTTTTTATAAACATGACCATTTACCAGTTTATTATTATTATTAACTCTCTGTTTTTTTTTTTTCTCAACTTCTATGTAGTTTAAAATGTGTAACTCTCTAGCGCATATTTTTTTTTAAGAGAAATGTGTATTTAGTGTATATTTAATTAAATTTATTTTTAAAATTAATAATTTATTAGTTGATAATAAATTAGATAAACATGTAAGTTAATTTGATAAGAAATTATTATATTTTATTTAATTTTATTTAATAGCAATAATTCATTCTAAATATTTAATATTATATAAATTTAACTATTTTTTATTTTAACTACTTTTATTTATTTTTAAGATTATAATAAAAAATGTAAACTAAATATTTTTAATAGATTATAATAATTTTTTTCAAAGGTAGTTGACCTGTGAGTTAACTATAACTAACTTAACCCTAAGTTTTTTGTATTGTGAATTTTTTTACCCTAACTTACATGCATTTAAGTTAAATTAGTTAGAGTTGGTCCATTTAACATCTCCAATTAGGACTAATACTAAGAGTACCTTTATTAGTAGTTTCTTGAACCCAAAATTAGTTCTCTACGAGAACCACTAGTAATCTTTGAATATTTTATTTTTTGAATGAACAATATTTTTTATTTTAAAGAATGTTATTATATATTTTAATTTATAATTATTGATTTATAAAAATATTTTTCTATAAAATAAAAGGTTAAAAAATTTATTATAAATATTTATGTTACTCAAACATGTGAAAATATAAGTTTATATTTATATTAGGAGAAGAAAATATATGTATTATATACAAATAGTTATTTAATAAAATTAGCATATATATATATATATATATATATATATTTAAATAAAATTAACGATTAAAATTATTAAATTTTTTATATTTTAAAAAAGTTTCATATATTATTCTCTTTATCGTTAAATTAAACTAATAAAATTCAATTATTATACAGTAACATGAAAATGAATTCGCTTGTAAATATATTAAAAATATATTTATATATAAATGCATAAAAAATATAAATATAATTCAAAATAATGTTTATTATTTATATAATAATAAAATGAAAAATTAATATAAATTTAGTATGTTTGTAATTTTACTTTATTTAATTTAATTATAAATATAGAGATTAACAATTAAATTTAACTACGTGAAAATATGATTAATAATATAAAGTATTATATTAAAATAGTTTGGATTAATTCTTTTAATTTTAGAAATTTTATTTATTTTGTACAGAGATATAAAATTTAATATAAAAATTTATATTTCTCCACAATAAAAAAAATAAACATGTATATAAAGATATAAATATTTATATTACAGAAATTAAATATTTATATCAATTACAATTATTTATTTAATAAAATTAGCATAATATATATTTATTAATAAAGTAAAGTATAATTTTTTTTTTATTTTTTTATATTTTCATTAAAAAATTATTTACTGCTTTTATATTATTGAATTATGCTAATAATTATTTTAAAATTAAATTTAAATAATTATAAATCAAAATAAACTTAATTTAACATACATGAATATAATCTACGATAATGCCTAATTAATATAAAATTAGTATCTTGGTAATTCTTTTTAGTTTAGTTTAGTTTTACGTACAAAAATTAAAAATCAAAGTAAATCACCTGCCAAATGTTCTTGATTGAGTTTATAAAAAAATATATCACATGTATTTATCACATCATCATGTTTTATTTTTAAAAAAATATTATTGAATAATATTATTATTTTTTAAATTTATAATTATTTTTTAAAATCTATTTTATGTAAAATATGAAATTAAAAAATTTAATATAAATATTAATATTATTAATATATATATATATATGTATATATATATATAAGAATCTAAATATCTATATCATGAGAAATAAAATTTATTTCACACAATTTTTTAAAAAAATTAATATAAAAATATATTTATTGACTAAGTAGATTATTAAAATTATTAATTTTATTATATTTTTAATAAAAAAATTATTTAATATTTTTTATATTATTGAATTAGGATAATATAATTTAATTATTATAATATTTATATGAGAAATATTTTTTAAAATATATTAAAAATGTATTTATATATGAAACACAAATGTTATTTATTCTACACAAATATTTATATATAAAATTATGTTAATATGTAAAATATAAAATAAATTTATTTTTAACTTATTGTTATATAACATAAAGTAAATATTAAATTATATATATATATATATATGACAAATTATCTATTGTATAAATATATATTTTATATGAAAATTGTTGAATTTTTTTAATTATTGGATCATATATCAATTTATCATATTTATAATATTAAAAAATTATAATTCAATCAAAAAATAGTTGCTATATATATTTACATTATTAACACAATTTTTTCATGCTTTAAGAAAATAAATAATTGCATCTGCTATAATAAATAATTATTGTAAAAATTTATTATTACAAAATATATTATTAGAATTAATTCAATAAAATATCATATTTAATATGCTGAAAACAACTTATTATTTTAAAATTTGGGTAATTTAAATATTTTTTACAATTTTTTATAAATAATATATTTTTTAAAAAGGAATAGTATTAAATTTTATCACGTACACCTTGGGCTCTACAAAGTTAATTGGCCCAACAGTTGCCTAACTAAACCATTCTAGGCCAACATTTTCAGTAATTGGGTCTTCCTCGTCAAGACAATAGATGAGACCTGAATTTTTATTTTTTTTCGGTATATGTTTGGTGAGTTGCTGAACGAGACATGACTCAGGTTAAGACTATTTTGTCCCTGGTAGTGAGAACGTAGTAAGAACTATTTATTTGTTTAAAGGATTGTAGTATTGCTATTAGAAACTGTTATTCTTAATGTTTAGATGTTATTATTCTCTTATTTGATATGTAAGTGGTGTTAGGCACTGAAAATATCATTATTTTCCTAAAAAAAAAAAACTTAAGAAGAATAATGACATGAAAAAGGACAAAATAAAATAAAATAAAATAAAGAGAGTAATGGGAGTTTCATTCTCTGTAAAATAATCTATATTTCCTTTCTTCCTATCCTTCACTCCCGGATTTAAAAAAAAAAAACGTTTAACACATGATTTTATTTTAATTTAAGACATTTTATCAACTATGTGACGAATTAAGAATTGGTGTCCGTTAAATTTATCTCGTGAAATTGTTTTTATACTTTTAAATAAAAAATATGTGATGCAATAAAAAAAAACTAAAATTAGTTTTATTACAAATTTTATTTAGATTTAATTAAGAGTCTTTCTTGATATGACTAGCTATAACTGACCAATAAAAAGTGAGTTTGGTTTATTGATGAAAGTGTTTTGAATGAGAGTTTAAGAAAAAGAAAAAGAAAAAGAAAATCTGTTTTATAAAACTTGCCTGGACGAGCAATTTTAACTTTTGCCGCCTTTATCTGAACAAAAAACCCAAAATAAAACAAAAGAAAAAGAATAGTGTAAGGAAAGTGAAAATATTACTGTTGAAGTTTTGTTACTCTTTGTTCCTTAAAGTTATATTATTTTGGGGTATGAGCCCAAAGAAAAAAAATATGGAGCTGAAAATACTCGAAATTATATATGTGCAATTCAATACACGATATGTTAAATTTGGTTAAATTATACGAAACTTAAAATTGTCTTCACTTTTCACCGAATATGGTGAATAAAATATAAGTTTTTGTGTTGTTAAATTGATACTAAAAAATAATTTAAACATGAGACTCGGTGATCTTAAAAATTTTGTACAATATATACTTTAAAAGTATTTTAATTTGATATAACTCAACGGAAGTGGATTTCCAGTTACAGCGCATAGGCAAAAATTCGTGAAACTTTTGACTAA